TGGTGGAAATGCATCTCCCCTTCACCAAGAAATCTCTTCCACAACCAGGTTCTTTGTCAACCTCTCTCTCTTTACAGCCCACTTTATTATGATTATTCTCCAGATGATTTCCCAAGAAAAAGTACGCAGGGCTTGCTGCATCTTGGCTCCAAACTATATAGGTCTCTAAATAATTCCTTTTGCATCTTGTGTCCAACACATTTGTCTGTTACTAAAGATGACTACTACCTCTCAGGGGATCCAGACACTATACATATCAAGCTCATAATGATGATGTGAAATAAAACTGAATACCAGTTTGAAAGAGAACTAAGATGTGGGAGTTGAAAGCCAGGCATAGTCAAAACTGCAAGTGTAAATGGTTGGAAGAAAAGGTAAAATCCATAAGGATGAAAAACACTGGAGTTACAGTTATTTTTTCCCTACTACCTCAAACTAATGATATGACAAAAATGAACCCTTGTAGTTAAACAGGGAAGAAAAAAAATCCCAAACTATTTGTCTACCCTCATTTGCAAATCATTCAAACCTATCACCTAAGGAATTTCAGCCCTAGATTGCAGAAAGGTGAAGGGGAAAAGAAGAAATGGCATTCAAATACTTTCCATTAAAACCAGCTGGAAACTATTACTCACCACCGCAGTGATTACCTTCTTGCACCCTCCTGTAGCAGCAAGCAGCTCTCCCCTCACACAGAACACCCCTCGACAACTTACAGAGCACCCAGCATTTGAGTACAAACTCATTGCAGCTTCTCCTATGAGCAAAGATTGGGGCTGAAGGGTACATGGGCAGATAAACCCCTGACAGCAGCATCTTTCAGGAAACATGGGTTAAGCAGAGCTCTACCAGAACCACACTCACGGTGTAATATTGCATTAGCACAAGTACAGCTATTTTTCATAACCCGGCAGATTTAGTCTTGTAACTTGTTAAGTATTAACAGATTACATAGAAACAGTAACAGAATTCTGATCTGTAATCAAAGTTGTAACATCAACACGGAGCCATGAAACTTTGTAAACTACAAAAAGCTTACATCTGTGTAACAAATTACCTGAAACAATCTATGCCTGAAACCAGTACTGAGAAGAGGACTTCGAAGCCTATTTAGTAGCCACACCAGCAGTGCTGGGCTATTGCCCAGTGATAAACTTAATACAAAAAAGTGTACCCTCAAAAAAAAAAACCAAACAACCTTGAGCAGGATTTTACTCTAAACACAGTACTAAGTCTGAAGTGTTTTATTGCTCTGCCTGTGCAATAAAGTGATTAGAGTTCAACCACAATCATGGAGAGCCAGCAGAGAACATACCAGCAGAGATAATTTCACAAACAATACTCTTAAACCTTTGGCAGGATTTTCAAGCGCAACTAAATTAATAATGACAGGACAGTCAATTTTACTCTTGCAAGGGGGGTTTTTGAAGGAAAAAGTATCTCCTCCCACTCCTCAGTTCCTTCAGAACACCCAACTATCCAGCTTCTGAAGCTGTAGCGTTATCTTGGGCTTTACAGTTCTAGCTAGATTTTTTTTTCCTTGGAGGACGAGAACTAAGTTTAAAAAAAATCATCTCCTTGCCTCACAACGATTATTATTGGGAGAAAAATGAATTAAAAATCACAGATGAAAACACTTCCCGTGCAGTGAAAATGCTACTGCAGCTACAAACATATCTTTGACATGCAATTTCCTTCAGCAGAATTACTTAGGACTTTCCAAGTGGCTTGAGAATGATCTAGCTTTAGGAAAAAAACGACCAAGATTTTTCTGATGCACTTCCTTTTGCTTACATGATTTTTATCATGAGTTCAGCTTAAGAGTGTTCTGTCACCTGTGGGAGATTTAGAGCTTTAGAACTGTTTGATGACTGACCACCCAGGTACCAAGAGCAGAGCAGGTAGCACCGAAGAGATGATGGTTTGGGAAATAGGGAGTTTAAGAGTAACAGAAGGAACCAGGAGATATTAAGAAGTACAGCAGCCTGTACTGCTACAAAACAGGAGGTTTTGGTCAAGGGAAGGTCTCTACTTCCACATCTCCCACATTTTCATCTGCACAGGATACACGTTCTGAAACACCACAGAAAATTATGGAAGTAGATAATTCTCTGTTCCTGAAATATCATAAAGTAACTCAGCAATCACAAAACCTAGAGGACACAGCAACGCACTTCCTTGGGGGATGGGAGAGCACAGATCATATCTAAGGAGAAGTGTTCTTTGAAGAATGTGCCATTTTATTTACTGTTTTTCTTTAAGCTCACCTACAATCTTGCCTCACCTACAGGAGAGGCACAAGAAGCAGATGCAGTTCTTCCTAAGTATTTTATCATCATTTCAGGATCTTCTGTTCCTTGTGAAGTCAAAAATACACACGGGTTTACATAAAAAGTATATTAGAGAGCACATGGGGAACCTTGACCCAGGCACTTTGTTTTCCTGTTTAGTTGATACACATTCATCTCACTCTCGAGTTAGTACAGACGGGTGCAAACCTACATCCACTTTTATCCAAGCATCTGCAAATAATTTAAAGCATAATAAGATAACACAGATGCTCTTTTTTCAATTATCTTAGTCAGAAAGGGGCAATGTTTTCACCCCTTTAGCTAAGATTATTAGATTCCCTAGAAATCCTTATCCATTTGAAGAACATTTACAGGATTTCATCCAGCAGTTTTATAGAGTAAAATAAAGTGCCTCCAATCTAAGGATCACTTCTACATCCACCATGTAGAAAAAAAAAAAGCCCACAACATTTTCACCTATTTAAAGAGCACTACTATTAATTGGCTATGTAAACAACTGCAGAAAAGAGTTGCATATAAAAATAAATTATCAAAGAAAATGCACACCCCCACTCACCGACACACACACTCAAAAGTATCTGGAGACTGCAAAGTGGAGAGAGAAAGCAGACATCTTCACACCTGAACTCAGGGGTTTCTTCAGGCAGTGCCAATATTCTTAAATACACAGACTGGGCAGACTTTTTTCAGACAAAAGACTGAAAAAAGAAACTCCTTCTGACAATGATGTCATAATCAATTGATCAGGTATGATTCTGAACTGAAACAAGTCACAGTTAAGAGAAGAAACACTGCTTATCCAAATGCCTGCACTTTGTGCTAAAAGCTTACATAACCTTCTAATTTTGCTCATATAAACAAAAGCTTACTGTTGAATTTATTTATCTTTAGACCTAGACAAGGAGCGTAGATTATCTAAAATTTTAGGTGAGTGGAAAATAGTTTAATAATTGTTAAATACCGGAACACTTAACGTGCAATACTGGAATAACCACCAAAACAAAGTCATTAACATGAGAAGCAGTCCCAATTGCAGCCAGCTTCCTGCTCATTTAGCAAAGATTAATTCTGTCTTCACAGGCAAGGGAAACATTCATTTCACCTTACCAAGCACGACCTGAGCAAGAAATGATAAGGAAAAGATGGCTTTTGATGCTTAAGCGTTCCTTTTAGTAACTGGGATAGGTGATGTCAACAAAATCACTAGTCTGTGCTCTAGGCAAGAAGATTTTAATAGAAGGACAGGGAAGGGAGAGACAGACATGGAGAGCAGATGGCACCAAGTCTTTCAGGAACTGTCAGTGGTGGGGGGGGGAAGGTTCCCTACAGAAAATATTCCTGAATTAAGAGGAATGTTGCTCGAGTAACTTAAAAATAAGGTATTAGGAAAAGATGAAAGCCGTGTCTTCTACAGCAAGACCAAACTGTCAGAAGAAATCGAGGTTGCTTTCACGAGAGGAATAAATAGTATATTCTAATAAAAAGAAAAACCTCTGCCTGTCCTTAACCTGCTCGGTTATTTATCTGGTTAAAACAGAAAGGATTTGGGGGGTTTATTTCTGGCAGCGCTCGCCATTTCACAGCACATTTAGCGCACACGGAACTGATCAATACCGCTACAGACACAAGACTAGACTATCCATTTACTAACCGCAAGGAAACGTCCTGTTCAGCAAAATCCTGTGCATTACAAGGCTGGAAACTTAAAAGGCATTGTTATACGGCTCTCATTACTGCCTTACACCGGTTACACTGGAGAGCTGAGCACTCCTCTGCCAGCTTTCAGACCGAGGAACAAGGGCAAGAACGCTAAAAATCGTGTTTAAACCTTCGCAGAGGGCTACACACACTCCAAGCCTAAGCGCAAAGTGCCAAGCTGCCCTGGAAACTAACGCAAGAGACATCGCACACCTCAGAAGAGGTTTTTGTGAAGCTGCTGGAGCTTCAAGCAGAAGTACCAACAGTTCTCCCAACCACTGGTTGCTACCAGAACAATCCTCCTGCCGAAACAGCCTGGGGAAGTCCTCACTCAGGACTCGGAGCTGGCCTCCCAGCCCAGCTTCTGCTGATTTCGGGAGAAAAGCAGTAGCGGTTTGGGTTTTTTCTTCACTACAAGGCGGTGATGTATTGCGTAACGAAACACAAAGCCCTGCTAATTATTGTTTAGAAACTGAAAGTCTGCCTTTTCAGCCTAATTCCGTGCGTACATCTATCCAGGCACACACCCCTCGCTCGCATTAAAGGACGAGCTGATGCTGTCAGAGCAAATGCCTCTTTCCAAACTAATGAAGCATTAATGAAGGTTGCCATTCGCCAGTGAATGGTCCAGAATAAGGGATCTAATTGAAGTAAGGAGTATTTCAGACGAGTTATTAAAAAAAAACCCAAACAACCAAGCAACCACCACTAACTGCATTGCTGGATTACGGTAGGTGACACTAGGTGGTTGTGTCTCCACATTTGTTCCACACAACTGATCTGAAATCCAAGCGCCGCACGCCTTTGAAGTGCTCCCGGTGTATACTGTTGTAAGGCTAACGCTGAAAACAGCTTCTGCCTTTGCCATCCCCAAGCACTTGTCCCCTGAAAAAGGTTTCTCCTCATTCACACTAATTGACAATGTTAACCTCGAGCTTTCAAGTGGTGACCCCAAAGCTCTACGTGAGAAAACCAAGAACATTCACTTACCTGAAGAACAAGAGATAAGAAAAACAGCGAACGCCAACTTAGTAGCAGCTCCCATTTTCCAATGCTGTTAAAACATTTAAGTGACTTTAAGTATCCAGTTTTCTCGGTCCTGCAAGCTGGAAAACCTCCCTTAAAAAAAGCTGAACCGTTATAAAGCAATCTATAGCAACATTTCTGCAGCAGATAAATGTTCATAAAACAGTAAAATCTGATTTATTTAGACACTGATCTGTCTCCGGCTCTTTCTAGTGAGAATCCGGGTTGACGGATGGATGTTTGGAACCGCGTTTCAAAACACACGTGTCATTTGGCTTCTGTACAAACGGTGGCAAAATTTAATTCATAAAAGTATGCTACGAATCCACTTTAAAAAAAAAAAAAGTCAACGATTAAGCTGCTGGACACGACGAAGTCTCTGAGCACACTCCAACTTTGCTTTTCCACATCAAGCTCCGTGAAGCAGCAGCATCCTCCTCCGTGGGT